CGCGCATGCCGATCTGCGCTGGGCCGAGCGCCGTGGTGGTGGGGAAGCTGCAGGCGGCCCGCTGCAGCGCCTCCACGGTGAGGTCTTCGAGGTCGTCCCATTCGTCGAAGTCAGCTGGCCTGTCCAGCGCCTCGAGCTTGTGGCACGACCAGACGTCCTCCCAGGCCTTCATCTCCCGGTCGCAGATCAGGTGCTGGCTGGCGACCTGCTGCTGCGGGACGAAGGTCTGGGCGAGCCGTCCAGTGGTGAGCTCGGTGTGGGTGCCCTGCCAGTGCGCCAGCACCTCCTGCATCGCCCGCAGCTTGGTGAAGCGGTGCGCCTTGCCAGCGCCGTTCCGCAGGCTGTCGTTGGCCCACTGGATCCAGCTCTGCTGCCTGACCTTGAGCGCGTCCGCGTGGGCGTCCTTGGCGAACTGGACGATGCGGCCCGCCTGCTCCAGGAAGTCGGTGTTGCCGATCACGCGAAAGCCCTGCTCGAAGAAGGACCTCACCCAATGCGGGAGCAGTGCTAGCGTCTTCTTGCTGTCCATAACCACGCGCCCATACTCCAAAGCCCTCACGACGAAGTCCGCCAGCTCGTGGTACTGCTCAGGGGCAAGGGAGCACTGCAGGCTGGCGGTTTGCAGCCTCCTGCTGGCCTTCGCGAGGAACGCGCTGACCCCCATGAAGTGACGCGCCCATCGGCCCGCGACCTTGGCCGCGATGACATCAGGCCCCAATCGGACACGCTGCCCTTGCGGCTTCCAATTGACTGGCGCCAGCTTGGTCGCAATGGGCCCCGCACGTCCTTCGAACCGCCTGCGCGCTTCGCCAACCTGGTCGTAGCGGTCCAACAGCTCCTGCTCCTAGGTGCTGACGACGGCGTCCCAGGCTGCTGGCAGCTCCTCGGCGCTGGTTGTGGCGCGCACCTGGGCCAAAGTGGGCGCCCAGTCCTCGACACCGCGGCTGCAGCCGATGGGCGGCACCGCTGGAATCGCCCTGGGGGCGATCGGGATCCTCACGCGCATGTCCAGGTCGGCGGCACGCAGCTCCATGTTGACAGGGAGGTGCGGGGAGGTGATGCCCAACTCATCCACTCTCGGAGCCGAGATGCGGCTGGCCAGGTTTGCACCGACCAGAAAGTAGTCCAGCACCGAGCCGCTGCCCGCCTGTGGGCGGCAGGTGTCGGCCGACGGCGCTAGCCAGAGGCCCCCCGCCTTTTCCAACTGCGCCAGGGGCAGGCAGCTGGGAGGCCCATTGAAGTCGCCGCCGGCGATCCAATCGATGCCCGAGGCCGTGAGCTTCGTGAGGTAGCGAGTGAGCGCGCCGAAGATGCTTCGGTTCACGTCGTTCATGCCAACGCTGTCGACCAGGTAGGCCGTCACGAAGACAATGCCGCCACGGACTCCCCAGTGCACGTGGGCGGCCACCAGTCGCCCTGGCCACAGTGTCGCCGAGGGCAGCAGCGGCGGGGCCGAGACGGGGATGTTCTTGCGGGCCAAGACCGCGACGCCGCCCGTAGTGCCCTCCGCGGAGGTGGGGCCTGCCACTGCTGGCGCCCAGATGCCCGCGAACCCGTGATCCAGCACCTCGTGCTGCAGGTCGGCGAGCTTTGCCTCATCCCGTCGGTGATGCTCCTGGACGAGAACGACGTGCGACTCGAGGTCTCTGCCACCGGCGCCAACTGAACCCCAGGAAAGTCGCACGGTGCGCTGCTTGTTTGGTTTGTGTTTGTTGTTCGAGTTATTGTTTGTTTTGTTTTTTGGTTTTTGTGGTGTTTTTTTTGTTTTGGTTTGGTGTTATTTGGTAGTGATAGTGCCTTTCGCCATCGCAAGTGTGCAGGACATCGCGATGATGAGCTTAGTAAGGATTGAAGCCCTTGACGGCCAGCTCCGTGGCGCGCGCCAGCATGGCGTCGCTGGTCTCCTCTGCTGGCCCTGGCGAGAACTCCGCCATGGTCTGCCGCAGCTTCTCGGGCTCCATCGCGGCGGGATCCCAGCGCGGCGCTGCGGCTGCAGGGGCGGCGCCGCCTGCAGTGCCTGCGCCATGCGCGGCGGCGGCGGCGTCGTCTCCCTCGACGGACGCTGCAGGGGTGCGAGGGGCGCTCGCTGCCTCCGTGGCGGCGGCCCGCGCGCGCTGCCGCCGCAGCATGAGCTCCTGGAGGGGCCCGCCGAGCGCCGAGGCCAGCCGCTGCGGCAAATCGCCCGCGGTCTGCATGGTGTCGTCGGGGTGAGCGGCCAGAGCACCGCTGAGAGCCTGCGCCAGGTCGCCGAGGGTGAGGCCGCCCGTGTTCTTGATGACGTCGTGCTCCATGGACTGCCCAGGCGGACGATCCTCTGGCGCGACTGGGACCTGCTGCTGGAGTGCCGACTGCTCCGCCTGGAGGGCCACCTGCTGCGCCTTGAGCTCTCTGACACCATGCCGCTTGAGCTCAAGCTCGTCTTGCGCCTTCTTGACACGGTCCTCCGCCTCGCGCTCGGCCAGCTCCATCTTGCTGAGTTTGTCCGCCAGATTCTTCTGCCTGTGGGCCAGCGCCTGCACCCGCGCGTGGAGCGGCTTGGCGGCGAAGAGCCTGTCCTTGGCGGCGGCGAGCCTGCGCTTGAGATCCTCCCGCGGGCCCGTGGCCCAGTCGTGCTGCACGTCCTTGAGCGTGGCCAGGCCTGCCTCGCACACCTTGATCTCGCTCGCAGCAGAGGCGTCCTCGCCTGACTTGCCGTCGTCCACGTGCATGGCCGCGGCCCCGCCCTGGTCGGACTCCTGCGTACGAAGCTTCTTCCTGGCAGCGTCGAGCTCCGCCCGCATGGCCGCGAGCTCGCCCTCGAGCTTGCCCTCGGCCGTCCACGGGGCCCTCTTCTTGCCCTTGGCTGGGGCCCGCATCGAGGGTTCCTTCGGCGGCACAGGCCCGCCGTACACGTCCTTCTTGTGGAGCCTGCACCCTTGGCACTTGAGCGAGGTCCCGAAGTTGATGAGCGGCTTGCCGCGCTTCGTCGTGCAGCTCTTGCAAGCCCAGTCCTGGCGTTCCTTGCGGCCGGCGCCAGCCATGGTGCTGCAGTCTGCACTTGGGATCGAGAAGGGGCTGTCGGGCTCAAGAGCCCTGGCACAGGCCGCGGACTAGCGGTATCCACTTGTTCCCATGTGGAACTAGGCATCTTGAGCCAAAATGGCTACGGAGGAGGAGGAGGAGGAGGAGGAGGAGGAGGAGGAGGAGGAGGAGGAGGGGGAACAGAGCGATGCACGCTTTTCATGTCGAAGTCTTCGAAAGTTCTTTGATTTTTTTTGGGGGGGGGGCAAGGTCCTTTCATTTCTGGGTGTTCTATCCTGGGCCTCTTCCTGGCCGCTCGGGGGCCAGGAACAGTCAGAAACGAGCACGATTAGAAATGAGCACGATTAAAAACGAACGACGTGCCCCCATCGAACAACAAACAGCGGCACAAACACAAACTTTGGCGGTCCGCGCGGGTCTCTTGGACCTTCGCTGGGGCCCCCCTGGCGGGCGGCGCCTCTGGCGCCGCCCCTGGCGCGCTCTGCTCGCCAGGGAGGGTGAAGGGTACCCATGCCGCTGCCCTTCCCAAGTTTTTCTCTCGTTGGGCCTCCTGGGAGGCCCTCGCCGCCACCGCTGGATTCGCCTCGAAGTTCTGGTCAGAACGCGCCCAAGGAGAGGCCTGGGGAGTAGCGGTGCCGGTACTTGCTGCTTTCCCCGAAGACGACACCCACCCTGACCTTGCAGGAGGACGAACAAAAAAGTAGCAGCAGTACGACCTTGATGTTTGAATGCCGGTGGAGGTTTTCGGCAGTCCAGATATGTTTATGGGTCTGGAGGGTTGTGTTCAATCGCACTGGAAGTTCAGAGCATAGTATTCATTACCGAAGGTTCGAGGCCTCCGAGATGGGGTCCGAGAAGACGGGATCGGAGGATCGCGCCGGCCGATGCATCGCTGATGCGGCTCCATGTGGAGCCCGAGTTTCTCAATGCCGATGTCGCCGATACATCTCCGACGTGGACCATGCATCGTCAATGTATGGCCGAAGCATCGGAGATGCGTTGGCAACGCAGCGCGATTCCCCGACCCCATCTACTCAGACCCCAACTAGGAGGCCTCTAAACCTTTCGGGCAACGCTCTGGACGGACCAGTCGCGACCGAAATTCTGCCTCCGATCGCGAATTCTGGTAACCAGCGAGCCGTCGACGTCGTTGGACCCTTGCTTGGACCCCTATAGCGCCGACCCCTCGTTGCCGAAACTCGACCCCCTCTGGTCGCGTCTGGAATTTGTCGCGCCCGAAATTCCGTCACCAAGAATTTCAGGTCGCGGATGGTTTGGGTATATCCATGCGCTCTTCTCCTTGGGCCCCTCCTGGGTGCTCTTTGACCAGGATCTCAAGGCGAATCCAGGCGACGAGGGACGGGTATACTGGCATCGGTATCGTTTCCTCTCCTGACCTGGACACTCCCAACGTCATGATCTCTTCATGACGTGGATCCCAGAGGTCTCGATCCATTCCCTAGGGCCGCCTTTTCATCCTGAGTCGTTCTCGACAGTCCGGTGGCCTGGCGAGGGGCCACGGAGGCCGAAAGTTTCCTAAATCTCTTGTCATGCTTTCTGCATGGTCTGAGGGGGTCTGGGGTCGGGGGACAGAGAAGCGACACCACCACAATCAGGGGGGCCACCTCCAGCGACGAGGTCCACGAGGCCTCCCCGAGCTGGGGATAGAGGACGTATCAAGCGAGAGGGGGGGACCACACCACGAGGGGGATCACCTCTGCCTCCTCGCGCTGGTGGTCCCTGGTCGTGTTGGCTTCGCTCTTTCATGCTCCTATGGGGAGGCTGCACGGCTGGCCTCGGGTGTCGCCGAACGGAGGGGGGGGCCAGCGCAGATCCAAGAAATCCGCGCGCAGCGAAGGGAGTCTACGTCGACTTCTTCGATTCCCCATGAGCCTATCCCCCTGAGCCCTGGGCCTAACCCTGCTGAGCCAATCCCCTGAGCCTGTCCCCCCCCCTAACGTTGCCCCCTGACCCTGGGAGGCTGCGCAGCTGGCCTCGGGCCTGTCCTGCCGCGTCTGCCAGCAGCTCGTCAGCGCGCTGTGGGCAGACCTCGCGGAGCCCTCCGCGCCGGCCGTCGACGCGTGGCTCGCCGCGGGCTGCACCGCCGTGACGCGCCGGGTGCTGCTGCAGCAGGGCTGGCAGGCCACCACCTCTGGCTGCGACGGCGCCGGGCACAGGGTGGAGGGGAACACGTGGTGCTTCCTGCAGGACCTCGGAGAAGTTTACCTGCCCTGATGCGCCCGCGTTGAATCGTGACACGTGCCGTGCTCAAAACGTCCGTGTCAGTACGTCACGTGTTGGCTCCACGCATTGGCCCACGTCTAGGCGAACGTATGGCTTCATACCTGCGTTTTCAGTCTCCGTGTTGAGCTCCGCATCAAGACGTTACGTGTAGCGTGCTGCGCATCGGGGCAGCTCAGAGAGGCACAACCACACACGCCCGGAGCTCCGCGCGGAGCCTTGGATCGGCGCTCGAGCTCCTGGCGGCGCCTTCAGCGCCGCCCCTGGCGCGCTCCGCACGCCAGGGAGGGAGGTCCCTGCGCCGATCCAAGAAATCCGCGCGGACAGTCGGAAATGTATGTTTACTCTGTTGTTTGTTTCCTGCAGGACTGGTAAGGCTTCAAGTTTGCTCCCCTCCTTTCTCCTCTTCCCCCTCCGCCCGAGTCCGGGGCCAGTTCAGGCTTTCGCCATCGTCGCTGCAATGCCGGACGTCGACGCGCTGTCATTCCCCTCACCTTTTTCTTGTCTCCTCCTAAAATCGCATGCAACCAAGAGCAATTGCGCACATAAAGCTCCCCCAGGTAGTCCCCGCTGCCCTCAACAGACCTCCCTAGTAGTCCAGGGCGGTCTCTACATCCTGGCGCCGCCTCCGTCGGCCCCCTGATGCGGTCCGCTCTCTGGGGTGGGTGTCGAGAGCGCCCTGGACCACTCGGGGGACCCAACCGGTGCTACCTGGGGGTCTGTGGGCAACCCGAATCCCAGACATGCGACGTCTTGATGTTCCCCATGCAGTTCTTGCTCTCAGGGCTTCTTACTTCTGGTCTAAGGAACTAGGCCTGGCTGCCGGTCTGGCGGCTATGTCGCCGCCGTCACCGCCCCGTCACCGCCTCGTCGCCGCCCGTCGTCTGGGCCTGGCTGGCGGTCTGGCGGCTATGTTGTTGCCGTCGCCGCCCCGTCGCCGCCTAGTCGTTGCCCGTCGTCTAGGTTTGGCTGGCGGACGGGTGGCTATGTTGCCGAGTTGCCGCCCCGTTACTGGATCGCCGATGCCCGTCCTGCACAACATAGACTGTACAATATAGATTGCACCCCGCATATTGCACCGTATTGATTGCTCCGTATGGGACCCCCCCATCGATTGCGCAACACAGATGCCACATCATAGAGTGCACAACATAAGCTGTTCTGACAGAGAATTAGGATCTACCCCTCTGGGGGTCACCGTCCCCCTTGGGGAAGTCCAGTTTACATATGATTATGCTCCAGAGTTAATTCCTGAATGTGAGCTCATATCATCCTAGCCACGCTGGTATCGGCCTTTCCATCATCCTCCCCCTCAAAAAACCATCCTCCCCCTCAAAAACCACTATGCGCCCACACTCGCTTATCAACCAAGCCAGTTGCCAAGAATCCCTGGCAACAACTGGGGCGAAGTCCAGACACGCGCTTCGTCGCGAGCGCATGCTGGATTCTTCAAAATAACATGTAGGCGTCGCACTTGGAGTTCCGGCAACGTAGAACAAACAATTATATTCAATATGGCTCTCAACAAAAAGGTCTACGCTACGCACGCTTTCTTGCGATTTCTTGAGGACATCTTTATTGTTTTGGGGGAAGAACATACAACACAAAAAGGTGCACACCGAAACCGTCACATGAAACCAACGAGGCCTTTCATTCGCGCGTGCCGATCTTTTCCATATACTCATCACCGACACGCGGACCCCATCATCCTCATCGGCGTGATCAGCATCGGCGGGTCATTGCCCTTGCCGTCGTCATCGTCATCGTCGTTTCCTGCCGCCGTTGCAATCATCCTCGTGTCTGCCGTTGTCGACGTCGCTATGATACCGCGCCTGCGCAAGTCTCCGACTCGCACTGATGTGCCCGCCCGCGTGTCATCACGGCGTGTGAGACGCGCCGGGGAAGCCCCATCGGTCAGCGCCACCACGGCCGCGGCGCGTCGCGCCAGACTAGCCTGCCGGTCTGCGCGCGAGCCTTCGCGCGTTAGCGCGGCCGCAGCGATGTGGCAGCCAACGCCAAGTAGCCATCGCAATCGCTGCCGCATGGGTTTTGCAAACTAAGGTGCGCATGGGTGGGAGGGGTGCTTGCGCGAGCATGGGCGGTGGTCGCGCGCGAGGAAATCAAAATACATTGCGCAACGTTGAGTGCACAACGTAGACGGGACAAAAAAGACTGCACCGCATTTGTTGCACAACGTTGATTGGTCCATGTAGACTGCGCCACCTATGTTCCACCACATCGGTTGCACAATATACACTTCGCCACACATGTTGCACAACACAGATTGCACCACGCAGATCGCACAACCAAGATTGCACAACACAGATTTGTCTTTATACACAGCACAATGTCTCAGACGGCAGAACATATATTGCACAACGTAGGTTGCACAACGTACGTTTCCCCATAAAATTCCCACCGCACCTCATACTTTGTTCAGTACCGATTCCACACAACTGGTTTTGTATTCTAGAAGAGTAATGGTTTCCACCCCTTTGCCTTCCCCCAGGACATAACGGGTCTCCTTCGCGTATTGCAATGTACAAGAAGTTCTGCCCCACCATCTATCCTAAATCTAGACTCGTACCATCCCAGACAGCCTGGCACCCCCCCTCACCCCATGCCCAAGAAAAATAAAGATTTTATGTGCGCGCATTCGATGATCAATCCACATTAAATTTCGGAAGCCACTTGCAACAAATGAGACGGAGTTCGACGAAGTTCACACGCGCGTGTCGTTGCGCGCGCATGCCGAACTCCTTCAAACAATTAAGTTGTCGTAAGGCTCTGAAAACCGACAGTCCCGAACACATAAAACACCACATGGTTCCGCAACAAGAACTCACCCTGAAAAAGAGCCGGCGCTCGCGCTCTTGCATGTTCTTAGTACACATGTCCAACACACGCTACCAAACGTGCCTCTCGCGCGCGTGTTGTCGCACAAACCCTTTGCGACACATGAGACAATTTGCACACGCGCGAATCGTCACGCGCATGCCAACATCCTTCGACAACGTTTTATGTTTCGTACGTGTGTCAAGATCGAGTGTCCCGAAAAGACATGACGGCACATGGTTTTGCAACACGTTGTTCTCAAGATGGTTGCGTTCGCGCTCCTTCGAATCCTGGAGAGAACCAAAGTCTCTTACACCACTGTCATTACATTCTTCCAAGCGGGCATGTCGCGCCGCATGTCGAAATCATTCGAACGCCCTTGCGCGCGTGCTGGGGGGGGGGCACGACCCGTATCAAATAATGCCTTTCGGGCCGCTCTCGCGCGTCGGCCGCGCGCGCATGTCGATTTTTTTCCAAAGTTTGCGTCGCCGTCGCGGGGACGCCGTCCTCGTTGCCGACGTGATCAGCATCGGCGCCGTTACTGGCCGTGCCGTCGCCGTTGTCATGATCGTCACCAGCCTCGCTGTTAGCATCATCGCCTTTAACGTTGTCGACGTTGCCATGATTCCGCGCCCGCCCAAGTCGCCGATTCGCATTGAAAAGCGTACTGGGGAGTGCCAGCGGTCAGCGCCACCGCGGCCGCGTCGGTCGCGCCAGACAAGTTGGCAGCTGCGCGCGCGATAATGCGCGCTAGCGCGGCCGCGGCGATGCGCCAGCCAGCGCCGAACACGTGTCGAAATCGCCGCCGCGTGGGTATTGCAAACCAATCTGCGGGTGGGTGACTGCGACAAGTGCGCGAGCAGTGGAGTTGACAATTTCGATTTCGGCAGGGTGGCTTGCACAGTCTGCGCCACACAGATTGCACAACATAGATTGCAACACGCAGAATGCTCAACGCATATTGGTCTTCATTGTGTGCACAACGTGTAATTCTGCGAAACATAGGTTGCACCACGTGATGTGACCTCAAGGCTGTTTCAATGGAGCTTCCACAACGAATGTTGCACAACATGATTTGCACCATGCATGTTGCACCACCTTTTTCGTTATGCAAATATTTTTCAACATGCAGTACAGTCTATATGGTACACCCTATATTGCACAACGTAGTGTGCACCACGTAAATTGCATCACGTACATCGCACGACCTATACCCAGCTGCCCCATGCAAAACCCGCCGTCGTGCCAGCCAAGCATTGTGGGCAACGGTTGCTGAAGGGACACAGGGGGCCGTCCCGTATGACACTTCGTGTTTCTGTTTCCTGGAAAGCCGTGCAGAGGATGATGAGGATTTTGGGGATGATGGGGATGATGACGGGGATGATGATCGGTGTTGTTTTGGCGATGGTGACAATGATGATCGGTGATGTTGATGGCGATGATTTTGATGGCGGCAATGATGGTGGTTGTGACAGAGGCGATGGTGATGATGATGATGGTGATGGTGATGGTGTTGGTGTTGCCGATGGTGACGGGCCAACACTCGCGCGCGCAGTGGATTACCCAACGCACATCTGCCATGCAACAACCAGAGTGTCACAGCAAATCTGGAACATGCATTTGAGGCGAGGCAACCTGGGCACTGTGACGAGTTTTCGACGAAATGCAGGTGCCATTCGCATGGCGGCGCCGCTTGCGACATGGAGCCAGATATCCCCCATGGAAAGGTGACCAGTTGGCGCGCTACCCTGCAGAGCTAGGCGCACTTAACTCCCCCGCGGGGGACAGACTCAGGCCGCCCCGACAGTGTCGAGGTGCTCGGGGTCGCGACAGCTATCAAAGAGACGACCGCCTGCTATAGGGACGCGGCGTTCGTCGCGCGCGCAGTGGGAAAGCGCCCAGACAACAATTAGATGCGCAGTTGGACGAACCTCAGGACAAACGCACACTGTGGGGCGAGTATGCGATCCACCATGGGACCCTGCCGTCACTTATACTACCAAGTTTGTGCCAATGTGCGATGGTAGCCGCTCGCCGCCGTCTTCGGACGTCTTAGGAGTGGACATCTGGCCGCGCTTGAAATGCCAGACGTACATCCAGGAATTAGACCCCCCAGCCACATGCGCGCCCCACGAGAATGACCTTCAAAAAAGGTGCTCGACTCCCAGCCTCGCCCGGACGAGTCCGCTGGTACTTTTTTGCCTCTGCAAGAACAAGTGCTATGCACAAGGCGACCTGAGTTCTGGCCACGCAACCGCATGGCCCAACCCGTGGTTGCTCGCTGCTCCCAATCCAAGTGTTAACCCATGGATGTGCTTCCAGGATGCACTGAACGCGGCTGTGGAGTGGCGGCCGATGGACGCTGCCAGCGCCGGCGCCGATCTAGGATGGCACGCTGTGGATGAGGGCCCATTGGGCGGCGAGTACTCAGCTGTTGTTTGGGTACTCGCATTCGTCTACGTGCATGGCCAGTCCGTCTGTTACTCTCAGTCGCTTCAGTCGGGCCTCCAAACCTGCCTGACAACGTTGGAGCCCAGGCAACGCGATCGCAAAGCCCCTTGCAGAAGCGACGCTGCACATCTCGCTGGGCATGAAGCATAAATCCTCTCCAGCGCATTTGCTATGGCGTCGGTGCACTGCGCGCGTAGACATGTGGGCAGTTGAAGCTTCTAGGATAATTCATGTTGGTATGGTTGTGGCCCCATCCGTAGAAGCTGCCCCTCCGCTGCCGCCTCCAATCCCGCCCGCCCTTCAACGCGTCCACATGAGTCCGCTCCGTATCTCTCCCTCGACTCATCTCCGCTGGCCCCGCTCTCCTCGCCCCAGAGGTCATGCGGGGTCAGGGCCTCCTCAGTTTTGCCAGGCTGCTTGAGCGCTGGGTCATCGGCCGCTTCTGCTTGTCGGATGGCTCGCCGAGGAGGTCATTGTTGCGTGTGGACTTGACGGGCGGGGGGCGGGGGCGTGGGCGGTGAGAAATGAAGCAGATGATAGATGGCTGGTGGAATGATTTAGCAGGTGCAAGGAGGGAGATGGTAAAGGGAGTCTTGGGATGATCCGGTTGAGATGAGGAGATGGATTCTGCGCCTGCGCCTGGATAGGGGGCACGGGGGGCCATCGCGACGTGGGGGTAGTGGCAGCGGGCCATGCGAACGCTGGCAGAAGTGCGCGCTGATTTCAACGCCGCTATCATTTTCTATCTGAAAAAAGGTCGCCTTCAATTGAAAAGGCGCGTTGGCGTTGTCCATTACACTATTGATGGTTGTTGCCACGCGTCGAAGGGAATGTCCTAGTTTGCAGGGCCTTCCAATGTTCCCGGTGCCTATCCCCCCACAATGCTCGGGCTACTCCAACCGCGACTTGAGCACCTCCAATTTCTTCTGGCTCTCGTGACGCGGCATCCCCCTCGTTGATTTGCGAGTTAGAGTGGGGCAGCGTGTAAGATGTTATTTCTTATCCTCGCAAAGGGGGCTGGCGGCCGCGAGCGCCTCGCCCTGTCAGGCTTTCTCAGCTAAGGGCGCAGCGGATCAGAATCCTGGCAGGCCGCTCTCCTGATTCTGTTGTTTGATGTGATTTGTGATTTTCTGTTGAATATCTTTGTTTTTGTTGTAGAACTTTTGCAGGGTAATTGAGTACTGTTGAACTTTTGTTTGATTCTGTTTTTTGTTTTGGGTTTCGTATTTTTTTTTTTTGTTTTGTTGGCTTGCTCCTGAACCAAGTCTTGCAATTGAACGCGAGGCGCGCGAGGTAGATGCAAGCGCTCGCAAATGGGGACCTTCAGAAATGTGCACCATACATGTGGAGAGTGCAAATGCGCATCAGTGGAAGATGATGTTGTGCATGCTTGACTCGTTTTCAGGATCTGATGCGTAGGTCCAAGCACATGTTTAGTCGCTCGTGAGTCTTGGCCAGCCAACGCCTCGTGCAAATTCGGCAGATGAGCGACGCAAGCAAAACATGTGTCGGGTGCGCCGACATTGTCGCTTGAGCTGCCCGCGTAAGGTCGCGCGTAAACGCCCTCGTTTCCAATGTAGCGTGCCGCACTGGCGGCCCGCGCGAGCCGCCGCGTGCGGTCGCTATGCCGTCTCGCGTAAGACCGGTTTTTGGTCGTCGCTCAAACGATTCAAATTTGTCAACCAGTTCCATTGGTGTTGTTTTATCAATTTTATTGGGGTGGTTCCACGGACCACGATCCAACATACCGGGCTGATCGTATTTGAACGAACAATCGCGTATACCATACGGGATGTCTGCATCAATCTTGCCTACGTATGATCCAGCTGGATTGATGTGATAGAAATAATCGATTGCGCTCACAGGATGGTTCACCACGTCATGCCCCGTGGCTGCGGAGCCATCCGCCATTTGATGCCGCTCCTTTGTACTCCCACGCGGACGTAATGTCAGCCACAATCTTGTTGGTCAATGGTATGCCCATCGTTTTTTTTATGTTGTGGCCAAGCCTTCTGCTTCAATGTCGTTTTTGGAAAACGAAATTCGGTATTCTGAAAACGACCACATGGTTGTGGCGTGTGATGGTGATGTTGAGTGGGATGGTGATGGTGGTGACTACTGCATGGTGGATGCGACAAAATGATGATGGTCATCATTGCACGCATGGTAGACCATTGCATGATGAGCTGGCTCTACTGTCGTATGGAAACGAAAACACACGAGTGTTGCAAATATGAGAGAAGGAGCATTTCGTCAGGGGATGCTGGGGGCAAGCAAGGGCCATTAACCAACCACCCATGTCCAGAAGACAAGAAGCCAGGCCCCAGGTGTAATGACCAAGGCGTCCGAGTCGTTTTTTGGACGGCCCAGGGACCAGCGACTGCACTTGTCTGGCCGGCGCAAACGGTGAAGCATTTCTTGTCGTGCTGCTGTCTCGATGAGAGCATGTGTGGGACGCAGGACCCAACCAGCAGCGTCGTCCGGCGCCCCGAGCTCGCGAACGAGTACGACCCGGCCAAGGACGCGCTGTACCTGGCGTGTCAACGGACGTCTAGGCCTCAGATGGGGTCCGAGCTCATGGGATCGGAGGATCGCGCAGGGTCGCCGATGCATCGGCGATGCGGCTCGATGTGGAGCCCCTTTTCTCTTCGCCCCGACGTCGCCGACGCATCGCCGATGCATCGCCGGTGCGTCGCCGGTGCCTCGCCGATGCCTCGGCGACGCCTCTGCGGTGCGGCGCGGTTCCCCGGCCCCATCTGCTCTTGGCCCCCATGTGGAAGGCCTCTATAGGACCGTCGGCCGGCACGCGGCCCGCCTGTCCGGTTTCCTCCCGGGGAACAGAACATTGCGCAACACACGCACAGAACATCTCCAGGAGGGGAACTCACACACAGAGACGCAATGAATCGTCGATCCCCGGGAGAGTATGAGAAAATATGGGACGCGGGGGGGCACATAAAAACCCAGAAAATGTGGGACAATTTCGGGAATCATGTTATTTGTATATATTTATTTGTGTGTCCCAGGGCCCCTTCACATTTGGAGGTCCCCGCGCGGATGTCTCGGCTCGGCGGTGGAGCCCCCTGGCCGCGCCTCTCCGGCGCCGCCCGTGGCGCGGTCCGCGCGCTGGGGGCTGGGGTCCGGCGCCGATCTGAAAAGTCCGCCCGGATGTCTGGGACGGTTGCGTAATTACAGTCGGTCCTGATTAGTAGGTCGACTTTGCTAAATTCAGGGAACCTTTGTGTCCTGTGTCGCTTGACCCGTGCCCTTGACATTCTTATGGCAATGTTGCCCTCTGAAGGGTTTTTCGTCCTGTCGCGCGTCCTCTCCAATCGGGTCCGACTGGAATCGCTCCGCGGCGATGTCCGAGCCCCACCCTCGCCGAGCAACGGTTCAGGTAGCTCGACGGTCGGCGCGGGCAGGGTTCGGAAGTCGCCGAACGCGTGGCGCTGTCCGAGCCCTGCCCCCGCCTCCCTTCGATGCAGGAGAACCGATGGCTGTCGGTGGTCAGGATTCGGATGTCGCCACCTGCAGTGGAAACCCCTTCCAAAATAAAACACCCCGTTTGCCTCCAGAGTGCCCTTGGTTTCTCGTGTGTTCGAAGGTTTTGCGATGGAAAACGTGACGCTCCCACACCAATCGACTGACTCCCTGGGGTCTGAGGGTTGGGTTTCTTGCGGAAGATTTCTTGTGGTCGAGCTCCTACTGTTAAGTCGGGCGTGTCCCTCTACAGGAGGAATATCCAATGGTACCGGAGAAAAAATAATCAGATGTTGGTTAAAGGGTATAGGGCAATGGGGCTATAGGGCTGCAGGGCTACAGGGCCATACTATGGGGCTATACGGGTATAGGGTTATAGGGCTATAAGGCTATGAGGCTATAGGGCTATTAGGGCTATAGGGCTATAGGGCTATGCGGGGTATAGGGCTATTAGGGCTATAGGGCTATAAGGCTCTAGGACTATAAGGCTATCAGGCTATTAGGGCTCTAGGGCTTTGGGGCTACAACGCACCTGGGCACCGGGGCACCTGGGCACCTGGGCACCCGGGCACCCGGGCACGCTCAGGCACCCGGGCACCCAGGCACCGGGGCACCCGGGCACCCCCGGGCACTTGGGCATCCCCGGGCACCTGCCTGAAGGCCCTGCGTAGTTAGTAACAGTTAGCGGAACTTCTAATTGTTATTAACGGAGTTATAACTAGTTAGGTTTGGCCAGTTTGAAGCTGTTGTTTAATGTTTATGTTATGTTTTTGCATCTCATGTAGTTGGAAATTGGGGCATCATGATTGGGCGCTTCGTCGATTTGGATCTGCTCAGGGGCCTTCAAATGTTTTTATCGTCCTGGGGCAAACGCGACGGTCCGCAGCGCATCATGTTAGCAACATCGCGATTTGTATTCTACTGGCCAAATGCACGTGATGTCGTTCTCTATTCTCCTGTAAATCACAGGAGCTTTCAGCGAGGTCAGAGGCATCAGAACAGGGTCTGTATCATCTAAAAAGATGTGTCTGGAAAAACCTTCAGCGGCGTTCACATGCTTAGTTGCAAGCTGCTGGACAAGCACCTGCGACTCGCCATCGTCGCATTTCACGTGAAACCACACTTGCATTGCTGCATGCATCCCGCCCGACCCCAGGAGTACGATATCACCGCGCTTGATGCGGCCGAAATCTGTCATGGCTTCGATGCTGGAGACGGCTGTCTGCGTCCCAGGGCACATGCGTTTCAACGCATTCAGCAGCTTCTGTGTTGCTTTCGTTGGGTCGACTAAGCCAGGTGAAACACGCATGGTCTTTAAATCGTGCGCGTGCTGCGCTGTGAGTTGGACCATGAGAGCCTTCTCTGGCCCCTTCTTGCACATGTGGTCTTTGGCGAAACGTTTTACGTTTTTGTGCTTGCGTTCCTGGACAAAGCAACTGAGCGACCCATGTTTTTTCAAACATTTCTGGCAAAGGTGTTGCCATATGGTGCTTATACACCCAATAGCTTTCACCATATGCGTCCTGATGGCACCGAAGATGTTTCACTATCGCTGACTCTATCTGCGCGGTCGTGACTGGAAGCCGCCGCGCCGCCGTGATGATTATGTCAACGGCATCTTGCAATGCCAGCATACTTGCGATCTGGGGGGCCACTTGATCCGATGAAGGATGCATGGCAATTACTTGCCGAATATACCTGCACACAACAGGCAACGCAGAGATCTCTTCTGAGGCACTTGCTTGGAGCTCACCAGTCTCCCATACAGTTGCGGCTGAGTGGTGTTTACTCGGCCGCGTCCACTTCATGAAATACTCATGCAACTCCATTGCATCACACAAACACTTGAACTGCGCATGCCCTAAAAGTGCTTTTACTTCTCTGTCGAATATACCAGACACAAAATAAAAATGCATCCAGTCAAAGCAAATGAATGACGCAGGGAGATATCGCAAACCTGGGTCCAGCGCTATGTGTGCGGGGTGGAAGTTCCATCCTTTGTGCTGTGTGATGGTCGTGTACTGCCCCTCTGAAAACTCCCCCCGCTGATATTTATCCCAATCGGGCCGAAGTCGTTCCAGGATCGCGATGATTGTCGCGTCATCGTTTCTGCGTATCTTTGACGCATCCAAGCACGCGTCTGTCACAAAGAAACCAGATACATCATATGTCAAATAATCAAACTTTCTATTCAAGACGTTGCGACATAACGCACAGGGTTTAGAACCAGCGTGCCCTTTGTTCATGTGTAGTTCCCGCAATGCCTCTTCGTCCCCTATGACGCACGACAGCTTCGCGACGATCGTCGCGTGCGACGTTGCGTCGCCGTTCTCTGACACGTCTAATGTAACACCGCTCGTCTCAAAATTGAAACCACCAGCAGAATTTTTTTTTTTTTTTAAAAAAAAACTTCTTTGAGGGTCATCTTGATGCACTGCCCGATGCCACCTGGGATGCTTTTTATTTTTGCGCACCGCGCAGTGCTAAGCGTGAACCACGCATCTTCGTTACCCAAGGACTCGTCGAACTCAGCGAACGACCAGTAAACAGCATCAACCCCCCGATAATCTTTCCCCTTCGCCAGGGGGTCTCGCGGTGAAATACCATCGAAATATAAATGATGTGCCACGGCGACGCCAAGCTGCATGGGTGCTCCTGAAGTGAGCGGCGAAACATCTCCCTGACTGGAGCGCTAGCCTTGCAGCAGGAATGCAAAAATGGCCCAGGACAGCACACCCAGTTCTCGAAAGTTCTACCACTGACTAAAGGCGTGTCTATGCAACGCAAGACGTTCCCATATGCGTTCGACTCTTTGGCAATGATGTTTTCGTTTGCCCTGTATTGTGAGCTCCGTGAAATATTGTCGGGCAACCCATGGTCTCGCACGTATTTTAGGACACCGGACAGAGCGCGCTGTGACAGGTGTGAGCCCCTGTGGAGCTCCACCAGCGCCTCATCCGCCTTGCGTTTCCTGGCGGCGGACGCGGCCATGGTTTCAGCCCAAATGGCTACAGACTCGATAGCGATGTCAATGCGCATCATAGGATGCATGCGTCGCGTTATGGTAGGGGCACACTGCATGATGCATCTGAATGCAGCGAGGCGATAGATCACGACAGAAGTGCACGTTGCATATCCATGCATATGGCATGATACGACGTCGCATCAGAAGGACATGTAGGTGCATAGTGATGCATGCGAAGTGCGACGGTAGCTCGCAAGAGAAAGGAGTGTTGCATATTGATGCATGCGACTTGCGATGAAAAGATCGCAACATACTTGTGTTTTAGACATCATGGTGCAACGTCATACAAGCAAGAGAGAGTTCGTCGATGTGGCGCCGCCCACCGCCGCGCTGCAGCTGCGATGCGAGCTCCCAGCCCTGCTGGTCCTCAACAACCCCGTGGTCCTCCCCCTCCCCGCGTCGAGCACCTAACACTTGGCGTCGATCCACGCCAGCGCCGCGCTCCAAGCCTCAATGCGATTCATCGTCGCATTGCGGTCGAAGCGGACGCGGCGATCTGCCCTCCCCACAACGGCCCTGAACACCTTCTGTGAATGCTTGTAGATCACGTAGCCGCACCTGTACGGCGCGTTGCACTCGCACGTCGGCGGCTTGGGCAGCGCGGCGGGATTTGGCACGGCAGCCGCGGGTCGCCGCATGGCAGGGGGCCGCGCCTTCTTCATTGGCACAGCCCCCTCGGCGTCTTCGACGCCTGCCCCGCCCTCGGCGTCACCGACGCCTTCGCCAGCCGCGGAGGGGCGCTTCCTCGCCTTGGCGGTCATGGCCTTCTTGGCGAGGAGCGCCCTGAGCTTCTCCTCCTCGTCGGTCAGGTCTGGCTCGGGCTCATCATCGCGCGGCTCATCGCGCGGCTCCTCGCGCGGCGGAAGTTTCGGCTCCTGCTGCGGCTCCTCGCGCGGCGGGAGCTTTGGCCTCGGGGGCTCCAGCTCCACGCGCGGCTGCGCAGGCGGCTCGGGCGGCCTGAGAGCCGCGGCCGCCGAGTTGGCGAAGAGCGCCGCGCACAGCGGTGCACCGAACAGGGCCAGCATGACTTGCAACTGCCCGCCAGCCGTAGGGTCTGGGGCTGTCATTGGGGGCGCTGCAGCTGCAGGCGAGGTCTTCGCCGCGCAACGCCTGCTCGACTTCCTCACGTAGTCTGGCGCGCCCGTCTGGATCTCCTCCAAGGCGGGCCCATCGTCCTTGTAAGCTGATTTCCACCACGGCTCAGCCGACATGTCCTCGATGCGGTCGAAGTTCCACACCGTGGCGTACCCAAGCGTGGACCAACCCTTGCACGTGATGGCATTGGAGATGGCACCCTTCACCTCTCCGAGGAGCCTGAGCCAATCGCCCC